GGCAAGTGGTGTGGCAGTTGGGACGCTGGACTCTCACATGGCCAACTGCAGTTCAAGTCCTGAACCTGGCAGCTTGCTTTCTCATTCTTTCTCTCTCTCTGGTGAGCAAAACATGCCCTGTAGCAAGTTAAAAAAATAATAATAATAAATAAAATTAAATTTAAAAGAATTTTTCAAGAGGGGTATTCTGGAGCATACAGACCTGACTTTAACACTTCCTAGGTGTGCAGCCTCTGGGCCTTGCTCTCCTCTTCTGTAAAAGTCGCCTCGTGGGCCCCTTGACTAGGTGAGCGGCAGTGGAAGGGGCTCAGCCTAGACCCAGTCCCCAGTGAGGACTCGCTGTACCTGGCCTGCTGCTGCGATGGCCACTTTGCCACCAGGTGACCCGCTGGCTCTTATCTGGCCCCAGCAGACACATGGGTGAACAGGCCTGTCAACCCTCCTCCGTTCCTGCCAGTCAGAGCACACCACAGCCTGGTGTCCTAGAAGGCCAGCCCTTGTCCGAGAGCAGGCTCTGCCTTTTCTTGCTATCTGGCTATAAGAAAGTCACTTTCCTCGAGGCCGTGGCGTCCTCATCTGCAGTCAGGGACTGGACTAAGATAGCTGCTCCCTGCTCAGAAGCCTCACGGCTCCCAGAGCCCGTGCTAGGTGAGGAGCGCACCAGACCCTGCCAGTGTGTCCCCCACACCTCTAGCCAAACCAGATTGCTGACGCTGCCAGGACGTTCCTTCTCCCTGGGCCACCCCCATCCTGTCACGGCCTAGCACATCCTGTCGCTCACTACCCACAGCTGGAAGTGTTGTCCCCTTGTAGAACTTTCTTGGCTCTGTGGTACCTGCCAAGTCAGCTTCCCGTTGTTGGCTGCGTACACGACTCGGGTTCTCTCCCTCCCTGGGCTGCACACGCATGGGCAGGAACAGCAGCTCCTTCACAGTCATGGTCACAGCTCCCAGCTCCCAACTCCCTGAGCTTCCGTTAAGCCCAGTCCCTGCGTACAGAAGGTACTCAGTTCATGGGTTGTTGATGGAAGGCAGGAGAAAGGGGAGAAGAGTGGGAGGAAGTAAAGGGAGAAACACCTGTTCTCTTAGTGACCATGATGTGCCCAGCTTCGGGCCCTTCTCCCCCGGCAGCAGAGGAGAACTAATTTCTCACCCATCCATCCTTTCTCTGCCCCAAAGCCACTGTTGCATTTCAGGGTGGCGAATGCCAGGCCAGGTATCCTCACACCCAAACAGAAGCAGGAATGTACCTGCCAAGTCAGCTTCCCGTTGTTGGCTGCGTACACGACTCGGGTTCTCTCCCTCCCTGGGCTGCACACGCATGGGCAGGAACAGCAGCTCCTTCACAGTCATGGTCACAGCTCCCAGCTCCCAACTCCCTGAGCTTCCGTTAAGCCCAGTCCCTGCGTACAGAAGGTACTCAGTTCATGGGTTGTTGATGGAAGGCAGGAGAAAGGGGAGAAGAGTGGGAGGAAGTAAAGGGAGAAACACCTGTTCTCTTAGTGACCATGATGTGCCCAGCTTCGGGCCCTTCTCCCCCGGCAGCAGAGGAGAACTAATTTCTCACCCATCCATCCTTTCTCTGCCCCAAAGCCACTGTTGCATTTCAGGGTGGCGAATGCCAGGCCAGGTATCCTCGCACCCAAACAGAAGCAGAAATGAGCACCCACATGCAGGGTCTCCAGGGAGCATCGTCGGGAACCCAGTACGTTGAAGGTGGCTGGAGAATGGAGTAGGAGCCATGGGTACCCTTAGCGGTGGGCTGGAGGGGAGCCTTCTAGCAGGTATGGGAGGCTGGCAGTGGGTGCTCCAGCCAGGGAGGCGTGTGGAGGCTGGCTGCGTGTGGAGCAGGGCACCAGGCATCCTGGCTCCGCAGGGCCCGGACTTGAGGGACAGAGGCTGCTGGAATGCCTTTGTGCCCAGTTCTCATTTGACACTCCGGGCCTCTCCCAGATGGGCTGTCCAGGTCTCCAGGACCTCCACCTACCAGCAGGCAGCGTCCTCGTGAAGGCAGTGGGGCCGTGCGTTTATTGAATTTCCCTCATCCCTCACTGGCAAGCTCCTCTCTCCCAGGTGCACTAGAAATGCCCAGGCAGAGGGTGGGTTGGGCCAGGGGATGTGATTCCCTTTGCAAGGGATCGGGGAAGAGGCCAGCTCTACTTGCTTTTTCCTGCCCAGGTACTTTGGGGTCCCAGGAGCCACCCTGCATAGCCAGGGATGAGGGGACAGGTCTCCCCCTGCGGCCCTCCCAGCCCTGCTCACTCATCAGGCTGCCCCGTCTGTCTTTATCTTTCCCTGGGTGGAGGGAGAATTGCTGGCGTCAGGCTAGGGAGGCTGGGGTGTGGAGGCCCCCCAGCCCTCCCTGGCTTTGTCCACAGGGGCTGGGAGGGGATGGACTTTTTTGTTTGGCCCTCTATAGTGCCTGGCCTGGCCCTTGCTCCCATCTTGGCCCGGGACTGCCAGCAGCAACCCTGTTCCCACACAAGTTGTTGGACAGCCAAGGATCTGGACCCCCCCCTCGCCCCCCACGGTGAGAGGCCGAGAAACATTCTTGACATTCTTTCCAGAGAAAAGGGGTGAAACGTCTGAATTTGGGGGTCACCACGTTATACAAATTGCTATCTAATCGTTTTTACAAGAACACACTTGGCAGTAAGAAAAGAAGCCCAGGAGGAGGGGGCGAGGAGACCGACAGCTTGCTTTGTCCCCCTTCCCCCCAAAGTTTGGGCTATTGTCGGGCCAGTCTCACCCTCCACCAGCACAGTCGAGTTAGAGTTTTCTAGTTCAATTGGTCCTGGGGTGGGGGCCGCAGGGCCCACGGTGCCATTTCTGTTTGTTTTCCCAAATCAAAGCCCCAGCAGGGCTCCTATGGCACCGCTGGGCCGCTATTTGAAGAGAGGGGCCATTTCCCAGAGCCTGGTGTGTCAGTTTACGCTCTGAACTTAACCTCGCGGACACAGCACAACAGAGCCTGAGGGTCCTGGGCCCAGAGGCAAGAGAAACTGTATCTTTTTATTGGCCCATTTAAAGTGTGTGTGGCCATTTCGGAGAGCTGGAGGACGTGCAGAGAAAGCAGCTCAGCGCTGGCCAGGCCGGGCTGGCAGAAGGGCCCCAGGGCTCGGCCTGGCCCCAGGGCCGGTGCTCACTCGGCCCTTGGGTCTTCTCCAGAGCCGGAGCCCCCGGGCTGTTCTGTATTTCTTACTGCAGATGCTTAAGGCCATGGCACCTCTGGGGGTAGCCTGGATGCTGGCAGGACTCAGGCTGGCAGCTTGGTCTGGGTGTGCACTACGCTGCCACCCCTGCCTAGCCCTCCTTCCCTCCGAACCGGGGACCAGGGTGGGCAGGTGGGGCTGTGCGGGGCCTCCCTCCTTCCCACCCCCACTGCCTTTCATCTTCTGCTCAAACAGACAAACATGAAATTACTTCTACAGATTAAAGGGGAGAGCTCCTCAACCATTCCTTAAGGCCTCGCTAATGGAGGGGGCAGGGCCCCCAAATCTGAGAGGAGCAAAACAGCCCCTGCCTGCTGTGCACCAGGGTGTGTAGACCTGTGAGCGAGACAGACCCTCGATGGGGCCCTGGCCTGCCCAGGGCGGCTCAGTCGTGGCTGGTGACGTTCTGGGAAGGGAGGCTTCTCTGGAAGCCTTGGCCAGTGGTCTCTGTGGGGCGCTGACTGGGAAGATGGCCTTCTGCCTGATCCCAGCAGACAGAGACTTGCCAGCTCCCCAGCCCCGTCCGGCTCTGGCCACTCAGAGGAAGACAAGAACGTCCCAGGGGAGGCTGGGTCGGGCCCCCACGTCAGCAGCAGTGCTACTTGCCCAGGGCACAAGAGAAGGGCAGTGTGGGCAGAGGGAGCCCCGCTGCCACCTCCGACTCCTTCAGCTCATGGGCCCTGCTGGGGAGAGGGAGGCGGAAGGTCAGGATCTGAACAGGTGGAAGGCTGGCAGCTGAATCCTTCATCCACACAGCCGGCAGCCTCCTGGGCCTCGAGCTGGGCTGGTGGGCTGTGAGTCCTCTCCATTCCATGCGAGGGCCTCTTACCTGGGCGTCCCTGTGAAGTGTCCATGGCCTGGTCTCTCTGTCATGCCATGCAGAAGAGCCCAGCATCGCATGGGTGGAGGAAGCCAAGGCATCGGGCCTGGAGGGTGCCCCTTCATTTCCTCCAGTCATTCTGCAGAAGCGCAATACTCCACCCGTCCCCTAGCCATGGGGATTAGCGGGTGCACTTGATGTTGAGGGGCAGTTGCTAGGGCCAGCAGGCCCCCCTACGTGGTTGCTAGGGGTCTGGCATCAGGGCGAGGGTCTGCCCACTGCCGCGGTCACGGAGGGAACTGCACAGTCACAAAGAAATTGTTCTTCTCAGTAATCTGCTCTCGGCCGCGGGGTGGGGCGAGGGTGGGGGCGCAGGCCACAGCGCAGCGGGCTGGGGGCTGTGATCACAGAGGCGTGCGAGCCCCGGGCTGGGGGCCAGCCCGGCCAGGAACACCAGGGACCAGCCCGCTAAGCTGCTTTCTCAGCGATTTCTCTCTCCAGACACAAAGGTGTTTACTTGTTTTAACATCTCCTGGGACTCCCCTTCTCCCTTTGTGTGGTCTTTATCCCCAAGGAGGTTTGAGCCCCAGATTACAGGCAAGAATTAAGGCATTGGGCTCCGGCAGCTCAGAGCTGCATGACCTGCAGGATCAAGGAGTATAAAGTAACGGAGTGTGGGGGGCACCCCCTTCAGCAGG